GTGGAAACAGTATTCTAATTTGGCCCACAACACAGCAAGATGATTCAGCTCTGGAGAAAGATGAACTGCCGCCCGAGGCTCTGGGGTTGCCAGCATATTCCTGCAGCAAATCTCCCAGGAGGCTGAAGCCTTGCTCATGATTAACACAGAGCAGAAACCAAGTCCCTAACCTCAATTTTCCACAGGCCTAATACCCATGTGGGAGGAAGTAGGTTGATTCTTGGCTCCCAAGTTTACTTGGGTGGTGACAGTGAGCGACTTCCTTGACTTATTTTCCTCAACCATTACAGCTAAAGGTAGTTTTTGAAGCAGGAAGGTCCGGTTGGGCTGTGCCACTTCTTTTGGTGTCTCCTGCCTTCACTTGCTGGCAGAAGCAGCCCGAAGGGAAAGCAAACGCATTACAAGGGCCCCTGCCCCTTTGGCCGCTTCCCGCCGTGCAGTGCACACTCTGCCTACTGATGCCTCAACTGTAATGAACAGACCGACCCCGACATCTTTCCCTGGGGGAGTGCTGTTGAGAATGCGAACTCTGCAGGCGGACTGCTTGGGCTCAAATCCCAGCTCTGCCACCTACTGGCTTAAACGCTCGCTGTCTCAGGCATGCCAAGTGCCCGGATGATGATGTCTGGAATTTCATAAACATTCGAATGTTGCTTATTATTTAAGACCTATTACACCAAACAGTCCTTAATTTGTTGTCCTCACCCCCATTCCACTACTGCATGAATACTGCTAGTGATTTGAGAATAGGTCCTGGGCTTTTAGGCCTGAAAAGAAATAAGACATCTGCTAAATATAGGGTAACCATATCATCCAAACTGGGACACTTTTGAGAGTGACAGAGAGTGTTATTAATAATTATGCCAGGACAACAGGCATAAATGGAGACTGTCCCGGGCAAACCAAGACCTAAGGTTACTTGAGTTTAATTGGAAATGAAGACTAAATGGGGGAAAACACGGTATCACCACTGCACTGGTACAGGTACTAGGTGTTTGAGCAGCGCAAAAAGGAATGGTAGAGGTTCTGTGAACTGTGGCTAAGAACAACTTTTGCCCCACCACTGCAGACAATTCCCAGAATGCACTAAAAGCTAATTAACCAGGATGGGACTATAGAGACCGCTCATCCTTGCTGTTTTAAACCCTCTCGTTGCACAAAAGGCTAATGAGTAGTACAAATAAGATTCTGCTGGATATTTATAATACTTGAGAGAACGAATCGTCCTTAGTGCCATCCAATAGTGCAGCAGCTGCATCTGACACAACTGTTAATGCTGCCGGGAACGCAGTCTAATTCATTCAGCAGAACAGGTTCCTCAAAGATGTCGACAACCCAACTGAATTTAGTGAGCCTCATTTGAGCACCGGGTATGTATCTGAATGATAAAACTGCATTTGTTTACATGTTATATAACGTATCACATAATGTATAATATGTGAATTAACAATATTCTACTTTGACTCAATGAGCTTTGACTATACTATATAATGACAGTATATAAAATAGAGCCATGAAATAAACTCCAATCGGAAAAACACATATTAAGTTTTACACATTGGCACCAGACATTATTTGATTGAAAATTCTAATTTTTTATTCTATTTTCAAAACATCAGTTCTTTAAAAAATCCAACGTATCTTTTAGTTTCACATGCTTAAAATGAATAAAATACGAATCAAGTTTTCTAAAAAGTTGCTTTAAAAGTGTTGTATAGGGAGCACAGTGATAGACAAGTTAGTAAACCCAGAGAAATGCCACCATCAGCATCAACTCAGGCGAATTCACGTCGGAGGGCGTGGCTGGGGTACACGTGCAAGCAGTGAAAAGACCAAGTTTCAGAACAGTTGTAAAGTGTCTTTATAAGTGACCAGAAAATCGTGAAAGCTATTGACTGCGTGTTTTTATTTCCTTTAAGAGAGGTACTGAGAAGGCTGGCCGTCCTGTCTTTGTTTCTGCCTGTTTTCTGTCACCATACTATGCTCACTTATTTATGTGTGCTCATAGGACTGTCACCAGTTCTGTAAGAGTGAGTTGCTTAGAGAGCCTCGCTTCTCCATCGACATTCTTGGAGAAAAATCTGAGGGAAAGGAGGAGTGTCAGCCTGAGGCTACATACTTACTGTGCCAAATGTCGATACGGATAACACAGATACATAAAACGACATATTCAGAAAACCTGCCAGGTATGCTTAGACTCGCAGAAATGCAGGCGTGTACAAAAAATGGATATATGCCCACAGATACCGAGGTACACATCAACATCAGAACCAGGAAGTGAAAATGTCAGCGAAAGAGTTTAAGGAGAGGTGGGAGGGCAGGGAGGCGGGGGTGGAGGCTGGGTGCCGCGGACAGACAGCAGGTGCGCAGTGCAGAAGAGTGCCCAGCAGAGCACCTGCAGACTGGACTAATGGATTCCTGTCTGCCAAAGACCGAGGCTTCGACTACTCTGCGTTGTACGCCGCCCACCCTCCAGAGGCAAGGACTAGCTGCGCAAGCCTCTCTTCAGGGCACTAAGCCATTCTGACGTGCTCTCTGCTTCCAGGCATCTTCTGGCCTACCCCCTTCCTCTCTGGAACTGGGCTCCTGGCTCCATTTCTCTGGGTTATTCTGCATTTCCTGCTACAAATACATCTCTGAGTACCAGCGATCTTCATAAAAAGTGATTTCAAGTGTTAATACATAAATCCTGAACTGGACACACTTGCATTGACGTTTCACCCAAGGAAGAGTAGGCATTATGTGATGCGACATGTGAGTAAACGAGAGAACCACCATCTGCTACTCCCTCTTCCCGACAAAAGGCACTGAGAGTAGGTACTTCCAATTTACAAGCAGCTAAAATGCAAGATTTCAGGGGTCTGCTCACTTGACATCATGTCCCAAAGCACCTTACACTCATTCACATAAGAAAGACCAAACTTTTGGAACAAGTTATTATTAATGCCTGCTCTCCAAACGGGAGTCAGAAAACTAAGTTTGTAACAGATCTAGAGAATGAAAACACATGCAGACTTTTCTGAACCAGGAGAGAATTAAGGCCCACAATGAAGTGCCTGGGTGAGCATGTGCCTCCAGGCAAGGGCTCGCTTCTTCTAAAGCAGTTAGTTTATCAGAAAAGGTCACTCTTCTTGGGAGTGATGGGCTGGAACGGGGCAGGGTGGGAGTGATCAGGCCAGCACATTTCAGTTCTATGCACCACTGAGGCAGGAAGCAGCTGTCAAAAGCCTCCCAGTGGCCAGGGCCCAAAGGCCTCACTGCATGGCACATATGCTGTGTGGCAGGAACTCCTGCACGTAGGTAGCGGCTGCCTTGGAGAGGTAGGTCATGGTGCCAAACCTGCCACTGGGTGCACTGTCATACAGGAGAGTACAGATGCCAGACGCAGGATCCGTGGCCAACATGGTATCATCTGCGCCGAGAGTTTTCTGTTTGGTTTTTAAGGGTGGGAGAACACAGGGGAAAGGAAAAATTACTAATCCTACTAATTAAAGTCCTGATTAGGATAATTCAGAGCCTCCTCCCCATCACCGACTAGTTGGATCTTGGGCTTCTTGGCCAGGAAAAAATCAGAGCTATGCACAAAGTGATGAATATGAGTTTCTATACATGAATTTTTCACTAGATCCTAAGGTCATATGAAATTATTTTTAAAGCGGTAATTGTTTAGGATTTTTGAAAGTTAAACATAAATTTAAATGTTAACACTTCTAAATCACCCCAGAGAGACTTTGGTCTGAATCTTTCTAACATCACGGATTTCGGCTGTGTATTCTTTTATCTTGCCTTTGGTCATGATTTCTTTCTAAGTCGACTCCATTCAAACAGACCATAAGCTTTCCAAGCTATGTGTTCTTCCCCCACAGAATGAAACGGTTATTACAGGTTTCGGAGATTTTCCTGTTGACACCAGGGCATGACCTTCACCTTATATGTTCCTACACTTGACCTTAAAGGAAATGTTTGGAAAACTTTCAGTAAATAGTTTACATTTTTAAAATGTGCTTAATTTCTTGGGAGAAGATTTATTAAGAAAGTAAGAAAACTGTAGAATTAAAAGTTGCACTTTAATATTTTCCTATTAGGTAAGTAGCAAAACCAGTACGGAACAAAACTAAAATCAAATATTCTCATTTCCTTTATGGTCCAGAGACGGTATGATACCCAACAGCCTCTTATTAAGTCCTTATTACAGCAGTGTGATAGGAAGTTTGAACTGTAATGAAAAGCATAAATCCTCCTGAACTCTGGGCAACGTTACCATCTAAGACAACCACGAAAGCCACAGTGAAAGAGAGGTCACGCCCTCCTTCCTCTGCAAACAGGGCTCAGAGCCATCCACCACTGCAAAGGGTCCCAGAAAAGGGCTATGAGAAAGAAGGCACAAGAAAGTGACCTTGGCTCTCTGAAGAGCCCTGAATGCAGTCAGGTGAGTGTCAGACATTCCCCTTTGCGAAAACAAGTTTGTTTACCTGTTCTTGAAGGAACAAGTCATTGGCAATATGCACTATTTTCTCCACAGCGATGATGCTTCCGATACTATGAATTTCAATATCTGCCATCATGGTGAGGACAAGGATGGCTTCGACCAGAAGCTGGCGGTACTCTGGCTGAGGTACACGATTTAGGACAGACTCCACGTGAACAGAGAATTTAATCTCGCCTGGAGTCATCTATGACAGAGAAAAAGAAAATCACTTCAGAAGAGCCCATCACCCTGGAGGCACGCATCACCCATTCTGGAATGCTGTAGAAACGCTGAGTAAATTGGTTCAATCTTTTTGGAAGGAAACCTGGCAGTGCCTAACAATAGTCATAAAAGTGTGCATGCCATGCCCGTGTTGAGGTTACTTCTAGTTTTACACCTGTGACTAACGTGGTTATAAACACTCCTGCACACAGGACTTTTTTTTCTCTCTTGAATATTTCGTTAAGATGAGCTCCCAGAAACAGGATTTTGGGTGAAGGAGACTAAGGAATAATCTTTGGTAAAACTAATGTATTAAGCACATAGTTTAGATTTGGAGTCTAAAGACCTGGGTTCAAATCCTGTTTTTGTTGGTTACTAGTCCCATGACCTTGGATAATTCTTCTCTCTAAATTTGTTTCCTTATCTGAAATCAGGAACTACAATCCTGTCCTTAGCTATCTCACGAGGTAGTGTTGAAGACCCAACTACAGAATGTGTGAAGGCGCTTGGGAGGCTCTTCAAGGTACCATTCAGGCACTATCATTATTAACATTTCAATCTTGCTTAAAGGCAGAGAAAAGACAAACAGAGGACACAGTGTTCTTTACCAGAGGTAAGGGCTATAGCTTTGTGTGCCCGCCCCTCCAGCCATTATCGGTAATAATGCCAGTGTTTTCGAGAATTTTCTATTGTCCATTCTTACTATTCCTAACTTGCTAATTCTAGCTCCTTTGTTGATTTTGCATAAAAGCTATTTCTTTAAAATTTCCATGTGATTGGGCAAAAAGCGAAATAGGAAAGCATCTGATAATCTATGCCTGTGGTTTATGGCAATGTTTTCCAACCATGGTTATATATCAGAATCATCCTAAGGACTTTTTTTAAGTACAGATGCTCATGCCCTATCTCTGGAGACCATAACCTACCAAACTGGAAATGGGAGCTCAGGTTACTGTGACACGCAGAGCTAAGGACCATTGCTTTATGATCTAATAGTCTACAAGCATCCTACTAGAGAACAGTGGGGCGAAAAAGCTGGAGACATAAGAAGTCATTCATTCTTAGATTTCTATGTCATCTGCCCTCCCCAACTCTGGCAACACTCACAGACCAGCTGAATTTAATAGACCATTAAAAGAAGATGTCCTTATGTAATTTATGTAATAACTATTCTCTAATATTCCTATTCTATTTTTCAAAACATCCTCTCCTTTCTTCAAATGTTTTCACGTTCAGTTGATTTATAAAAGCACAGATCTGTCATTTTGAAAACTGATCACTGAAATACTTCAGCTAGACGACCATTAATCACATACATATGAGAGATATAGAATCTTACCTCTCTAGTGGTTGAAGAAGGAAGTACAAAACCTTCCACAGAAAGTCCGTGACACTGCAAAACAGCAAAAACATGTTGTCACCAAGGATATGCTGACAACTGGGAGGCTGTAAGAAGACACTCAGTATTTCTAAGTGTGCTTCACAGGGTAGATGCTAAGTAATCTCAGACCAGTGAAAGGCCCTGCAGCTCCAGCATCCTTGCCAAAGGCTGTGATTACCTTGCAGCAAAAAGTAGGGTGGAACTATGGGAGACCCAAGGTTCACCCTCTTCTTAGGAGAGTGGAAGAGGTGACAGACTGGCCCCAGAGACCCAGACACTACCTGAGAGGATACCATGCTCCATCCCAGAGCCAACACAAATAGGCTTTCGGAAAGATTTTTAGGCTTAAGAAAAATCTCAAGATAAGCAGTTATCAGACATGCATAGTTACCACACTTTCTGGTTAAGCATCCTTCATCAGCACTCCCGACCCCCTCGCCCTGCTCTACTTCTTCTATAGGACTTGTCATCTTTTAACGTTCTATATAATTTACTTACTATGTTTGTTATTTATTGTTTGTCTCGCCCTAGGAGAATATAAGTTCCATAAGGTCAGAGATCGTTGTCTGTTTTGTTCTTTGCTATAGCGTTGTTAGCACCTAGGACATTGCCTAGTGCACAGCAGATGCTCAAGACATGCTGTATGAATGAATGGTATTTTATCTTCCCCCTCACCATCAATTCAGTTATTAAAAAGCAGTTGGGAATTAATGACTTGCCATTTTAGATTTTAAATAAATCAAGATATTATATATTAAACCACAGATAAATATTTAATCCAACAGGTTTATCGCCTCTACCAGACACTTCCGTCTCATGTTCCATATGCCAAATAACAGTGTTTGTACAGAGAAGTACCAGCCTTCAAACACATGTGAGAGTGGCTATGTTACATCCATACTCTGAGAAGAATGGAATGAAAAAAGCAGGGCATTTGTTTTGCCTCTTAGATCAGGATTCCAAGTCCACGTTTTGATTCTGCCAGAAAATACCCAATCTTCCCGGTCAGATTTAGAAGTCCCTTCTCTTGTACTCTCACAGCCTTGTGGTTTCACACCTTTACCATAACACATTTTGACCTTGCGTTATACCTGCTACTGAAGAAGATAACTATGGATTAAACTCTTCGGTAACGAGAATGACTAACTTCCATGTCACATCTCAGCCAAGGAGAACGAGGATTTCAAGGGGGGCAATAAGAGACATCTACAATGGGTTATACTCACCTTCTGTAAAAGTTTCCATACTTTTTGATAAAAGCCAATTGGCACTCTGTTCAGCGCTCCATCCAGCCTTCTTCGGCGTTGCCATTGACCTTGACGATTATCTTTACATGTCTGTTGATCATACACACTATGAAAGGAGCCACTACTTGGAGTCATAGAGGTTCCGGGTGACTTAGGATAAAAGGAGAGGAAAGAACATAAATCTAAAGTTATCTCTGTCCTCTGATAAAGTATAATACAATGAATAATAAACACTCTGCAGAATTATAAACCACATACTAAGTGTAAAACCCAAGATAAAAAGGTTACAGTAAATTTAGTAGACTCATGAGTAGCTAGCAGCAACGTAAACTGGTACAAACCTTTCAGAAAACAATCTAGTGATACATAAGAAGAGCCATAAAAATACTGATGACCTGAAAAGTTTTTAGCTGTCATTTTCCCTGTTAGAACTTCTAGCTGGTCTATGGCTTAGCTTGTTGCTCTGATGGCTCTAACATACACCTCGATCAACTTAAAAGAGTTGAAACCAGAGAAAGTATGTTCTGTGACTACGATGACATCGAATTAGAAATCAACGACAGAAGGAAATTTGGGAAGGAAATTTATAAACATGTAGAAATTAGACAACACACCCCTAAATAATCAGTGGGTTAAGGAGGGAATGACGAGGAAAATTATAAAACACTCTGAGATGAATGAAAACAAAAATATAATGTATCGAAACGCATGGGATGCAGCTAAAACAGTGCTTAAAGAGAAATTTACATTATAAATGCGTGCATTAAAAAAGAAAAATCTCCATATGATTTCACTGATATACAGAATCTAAGAAACAAAAAGAATAAATGAATCGAAAACAGACCCACAATCTGGTGTGCTGGTGGGGGAGGCGGCTGGCAGAAAGCAGTGAGGGTTGAAAGAAGTACAAATTAGTAGTTGATAGACAGTCACATGATGGGGAGCATGGCACAGGGAATGCAGTCAGCAGTAATGTAATGGCTGGGTGGAGGGCCAGAGGACAAAAAGAACAATCAGGGGGATCGTTTCATAAACTATATAAATGTCTAACCAATGTCCTGTATAGTTGAAACTAATAATAAAAAAGAAAAATCTCAAATCAATAACCAAACCTTGCACCTTAAGAGACAATGAAAAAAAGACCAAAGTAAACAGAAAGCAAGGAGAAGAAAATGACAAAGTTTACAGCAGAAAGAAATAAAGTAGAGACTAGAAAAATAGAGAAAACCAATGAAATCAAAATGTTTTTAACAAAATTGACAGATCTTTAGCTAGATGAATCAAAAAAAAAAAGAAAGAAAAGATGAAAGACTCAGCGTATTAAAATCAGGATAGAGATGGGACATCACTTCTAACTTTAAAGAAATAAAAAGGATTATAAGAACATACCATCAGCATCTATGTCAATAAATTACATAATTTAGATGAAAAGTACAAATTTCTAGAAAGAGAGAAATTATCCAAACTGACTCAAGAAGAAATAGAAAATCTGAATAGATTTATAACAAAGATATCAAATAAGTAATTACAAAACTTCCCACAAAGAAAAGCACAAGCACAAACAGCTCTACTGGTAAATTCTAGCAAACGTTCAAAGAATTAATATCGGTTCTTCACAAACTCTTACAAAAAATGAGATGAGGAAGGAACTTCTCAACTCATTCTATATGGCAAGTATTACCCTTATAAATCAAACAAAGACATCACAAGAAAACTACAGATCAATATCCCTTATGAACACAGACAGAAAAATCCTCCACAAAACACCAGCAAACCCAATTCAGCAACATATAAACAAGATTATGCACCACGATGAAGTAGGATTTATTCCGCAAATTCAAGGTGGTTTTAACATCTGGATATCAATTAATGTAATACACGATATCAATAGAATAAAGGATAGAAAGTACATCACCCAAGGAAATGAAGAAAAGGCATTTAATAAAACCTAACACCCTTTCGTGATAAAAAAAAAAAAAAAACGCTCAACAAAACAGGAACAAATGGGAACCTCTTCAATCTAATAAAGGGCATCTACAAAACACCCACAGCTGACATGATAAATAGTGAGAAATTGACTATTTTTTTCTCCTTGGATCAAAACAAGACAAACATGTTCACTCTTGCTACTTCTATCCAGCATTGTAGTAGAGGTGCTAGCAAAGGCTATTGATCAGTAAAAGAAGTAAAAGTCACCCAGAGTGGAAAGGAAGAAGTAAAACTATCTCTATTTGTAGATGACATAATCCTTTATATAAGAAAAATCACAGAAGAACAATTAGGACTAATGAGTTCAGTAAAGTTTCGTGATATAAGATCAATATACAAAAATCAATTATATTTCTAAACACTAGCACTCATACATCTGAAAATAAGACAAAATTTCCATTTAAAATAGTATCAAAAAGAATAAAATACTTAGGAATAAATTTAACGAAAGAAGTGTAGAACATATACCCTGAAAATTACACAGTATGGTAAAAAAAATAAGAACTAAATAAATAGAAACAATCCTATGTCCATGAATCAGAAGGCTTAACACTGTTAAGATGGCAGTACTCTCAAAACTGATCAACAGATTCAACACAATCTTCATCAAAATCCCAACTGGCTTCTTTGCAGAAACTGACAAGCTTACCCTAACATTGGTATGGAGATTCAAGGGACCCACGGTAGTTAATACAATCTTAAAAAAAAGAAGACCAAAGTTCAAGGACTTCCAATTTCCAATCTCCAAGCTACAAAAATCAATCAACATTGTGTCATACAGGCATAGGCTAGGTATGTATAGCATTGGAATGGAATTGGGAGTTAAGAAATAAAGCATTATATTTTCATCAATTAATGCTCAACAAGGGTGCCAAGAAAATTAAATGGGGTAAACATAGTTTTTTAAGGAAATGGTGCTAGCAAAAGTGGATATTCATATGCAAAAGAATGAAATTGGACCCCTCACCTCACACCATACACAAAAATTAAGCCTAAATGGGTTATTGTGCAGAAGAGTTAACACAGCAAACCTGAAGTGTGTGCTTACATGAGGGCCCTTGGCTGGCATTTGGAAACCTAGACTTTGGGAGGGTTCCCACCACTTCCAGGATGGAAAACTGGCTCACTGAGCCTAGACTATTTGTGCAAACGCTGTCGTTTATGCTGAACACTTGTCTTCCCTCTGGGGAGTCTGGAGTCTTACTAATTTGCCACAGTGAGAACGTTTATATAAAGCAGCCCCCAATAAAAATCCTGGGTGCTGAGTCTTTAATGAGCTTTGCTGGTTGGCAATATTGCATACATGTTGTCACGACACATTTGTAGGGCAAATTAAGCACATCCTCTGTGACTCTACTGGGACAGTACTATGGAAGCTGGCACCTGCATCCCCTGGACTTTGTCCCATTCACCCTTTCCCTTGGCTCATTTTGCTTCGGATCCTTTTGCTGTAATTACTCATAGCTACATGACTATATGCTGAGTCCTGTGAGTCCTCCTAGTGAATTATCAAACCTGGGGATGGTCTTGGGGACACCAAACATAATCACAGACCTAATTTGAAGAGCTAAAACTATAAAATTCTTAAAACAAAAACTAGGAATAAATCTTTATGACCTTGGTTTGGCAAAGCCTTCTTAGATATGACACTAAAAGAAAAAATTAGCAGGAAAAAGTTTAAGGAATTCATCGCCAACAAGCCAGCATTATAAGAAATGTTAAAGGATCTTCTGTAAAAAGATAAAAAGAGAAGGGGTAAAAAAGAAAATAGAAATAACAAATACAAATAATAAAATGGCAGTAACTATGTACCTATCAGTAATCACTTTAAATGTAAATGGATTAAATGCTCCAATCAAAAGACATAGGGTACTCGGAAGCTAAGCAGGATCAGGCCTGGTTAGTTCTTGGATGAGAGACCACCTAGGAAGACCAGGTGTTCTATACATAAAAAATAAGGGATTGTAAACTGACAAGGTCCTTGCAATCTGTGAGGTCAACCAAGGGTTGCCTCGCCTAAAAA